GTCCATCAGATTTGTGAAGTGAAGTACACATCCACACTATGACACTATGATATGAAGATAATTCGTGCACTCAGAAGGGAACATCGAAGTGGATACCCAGGTAGGATTGCGCTTTACCTAATGAACTGAAGTGAACATATCCCTGCATGCTGTGTCAGCCAGTCGTCACGTGACGCATGATGTCATGATGCAGATGGATGTGGTATGATCATCGGGACCCGAGGATAAAATATAAATGCTCCACTTCGATGAGTCCTTTGAAAGAGGACTGGCATGTCGCCTATCACCCATACACCATCGAGTGATATGATGAAGCACCGAGTGCACACCCATACCAATATAAATAATATACATATATATATATGTGTGTGTTTTAATTGTTTATCATATCACATATATATACACATATGATACAATAAATAGATCATATACACATCTATTTTTCTGTGCAAGACAAGATCATCTACTTTGCTTCTCTTCTTGTTCCCGTCCTGACACGTGGCGGCTGAATGTTCAGCAAGAGTATTCTATATGTATAGTGTGTGTGTGTTGCATCTGTGCGTGTTACATGATCGTGGGGTGCATTCCCCGTACCTGCTAACCGCGCAATACAATCGAGTCGAGGTTTTAAGAGATGGAATCATACGACCACAGGCTCATTTAACTCCTTTTATTTAAACAACCCTCATAGTATAACATGTTATAATGTCTTCGATCTGCCTTTGTTTCTTGGAGCTTACCGGGTTTGAACCGGTGACCTCACGCATGCAAAGCGCGCGCTCTACCACTGAGCTAAAGCCCCTCTCCGTCCTCTGTTATGTACATCTGCTTTCCGCCCAACGCCACGCCTTAGTTCACAACAAAGACACCAGTCTTGTGGACTAAAATAGCGACTAAAGCTGCTGAGTTTGTCCTTTCGGCCGCAGGTTGACACAACGTAGTTCGGTGGGGCAAAGCCCTCGTTAATGTTGGCTCCGCTAATCCCGAAGGGTAACTAGTAATGTAGTTAAACTACAACTAGGCTCTGTCCATATGCCTACTACATTAGGAACTACGGCATCCCCCCTTCGGGGAAAGAGCTACTAGTAAAACGACATTACCGAAGGGGGACCTAACCTACTCCAACAAGAACCTTTTTTGACAACGTAGTAGCTTTGGCCAGAGACCTAGTCGTAGTTATTTTATACAATTGAGCGAATTCAGACAAACGTCTGGACAAATCCATGTCGGCACGTGCACAC